TCCCCCACCTCACTCCACCCTCCTCCCCTTCATGCCAAAGATGTGTAGTTCATTTTCGACATAACATCTTGTACATCTCATTGTTGCAATGGGTCCAGCTGTATCCCTATTTAAACAATTTGTTTTTTCTCTTCCCCTCCACAAATTATACCAACATCAAATACAGTGAAAACAGAGGTCATACTGTGGGGGAAAGACATACAAAGGAACAAAGAAATATCTTATAAATATGTTAGACACAATATCAAGAAAGAAAAAAACATCTGAGTCCTTAACTTGGGGTTCATTTCACTTAACATCATCTTATCTGACCATTTCTGCTTGTCTCAGATATATATTAGTTATTGCAAATAAGAGAAACCATGGGACCTATGTTTCTTTGGGCCTGGCTTACTTCAATAATATAATTTTTTTCCAAGTCTTTCCATTTCCTAACAAATGGGGCAATGTGAAATACTCATGTAGGGCTTGGAAGGTGGCTAGCAGTAGAGAGCTTGCCTAGCATGCATGAAACCCTGGGTTCCATTTGTCAGTACCACATAAACAGAAAAAGCCAGAAATGGTGCTGTGCATCAAGTGGTAGAGTGCTAGCCCTGAGCAAAAGAAGCTCAGGGATAGTGCCCAGGCCCTGAGTTCAAGCTCTAGGACTGGCAAAAAAAAAAAAAAAGCAATACTCATTTAAATATAATTTCAAGCTTCTAGCTAGGTGCAAGTGGCTCACATTTGTGATCCTAGCTACTCCTGAGACTTGAGGATCACAGTTCAAAGCCAACTTGGGCAAGAAAGTCTAAGACACATATCTCTAAATAGTATTTTTTAAAGGCTGAAATGCAAAAAGTGCTAGGGAAAAGAGTGCTAGCCTTGGATTTAGAAGCTTGGGTTCAGCAACTTGGCCCTGAGTTCAAGTCCCAGTACAGGCACCCACACTCACACACACATACAATTCAAGCTTTGAATTAAAAACAATTACCTAAAAGCATGTCTTCTTAAACATGCTATTTGGTGAGTGAGGGCTAACTGGAAGGAAGTATTTTCTAACATCCCAGTGGTGATTCAGGCATGTATGTTACGGGAAGTCAGGTGGAGGAAATCAGAAATAACACTAAAGCTACAACCAGATGGCTCTATATTCTTTTTATAGCACCTTTCAGCTATAAGTATGATTAGAAAACAAGAGAAAAAACTCTAGAAGTTTTGGATTCCTTCTGCAGTTCCTGCTTCCATAGGACCCAATATGACACTGAGCTAAGAAAAATTATATGCCAAACAATAATTTACACAGCTAATTGTTCAGGACATAGATACTTGGCAAACTAGAGAGGCACTGCAATTGAACCCTGGCTTCTAAATTTATACAATATTGTATTTATTGTATAATTTGATGAGTCAGGAGATAACTAAGATCAACAGTTTCTATAGTTTTTCCATTAAATTAAAAGTGTGAACCCAGTATTATGATGGTTTGCCTTTCTTGTAATTCTGCAACAGTTTTATGCATTCAAGAAAGTAAGAGTCACTTAGAAATTTTACTTAAATGTTTAATACAATTATCACTATGCCCATTCTAGGGCTTGATCTCAAGACTTATGTTCCAGAGGTTTTGTGCTGAAAGTTAATGTTCTACCCCTTAAGCCAAAGCTCCATTTCCAGCTGTTTTGTTAGCTAATTGGAGATATGAGTTTCATAGACTTTCCTGCTCAGGCTGGCTTCAAACCTAATACTCAGATCTCAGGGTCCCTGAGTAACTAAGGTTACAGGTATGAGCCACCTACCCCTGGAAAAATACAAATTTTATTAATCTACATTCAAAGTATCTGAAATCTGTCTATACAATTTCATAACTGATTATTAGGTGAGAGTCATTAGATTTTATCCAGAATCTCCTAGAGTTTGCTTTCAGACTGATTCTATCCCAAGTCTTTCTCATTGTGATATCCTAAAGTAGAGTTTGAGGACTCCTTCATTCAAGGACAACAGGAGGATGAGTTGTGGGCAACTAAGTCAATGGCCTACTTTCTCACCCACTCCCTGTGCTAGGATGGGACCAGTTATCACTCAAACTGGCCATGGTTGCTAGAGCAGAGTCTCTATAGTCCTAGGCAAAAGAGTATTGTACAAATCAAGGCTAGAAAAAAAAAAAAAAAGCAAAACCAAAATCAGGTTGGACAGAGAACACATGGGGATTGCCTAGCAGAAGAGAAAGACAGTGCCCCTTGGGGAAAATTTCCTTCTTTACCCTTCAGAGACATTGCAGAATCAGTGCAGCTGTAAGACACTGTTAAATGGGAGGAGGGGGAGACAACCCTGGATGAACCTTTTACTTGCATCCAATTTGGGAGAGCATTTGCTCTATCTACTTTTGTGAGGAGAGGAGGAAACATCCAGCTGAAAACCAACACGAACTTGGCCTCCCTTTATTTCCTGTTGATAGCCATGTTGGGTTTGGCCTAGAAAGACTCAATTATTCTTTCTGACAGTCCAATGGGAAAGAAAATCACTGCTTTCCTAAAAGTTTAAAGGTGCTGACATCTGCTAGCCTTCAAAATTGGTCGCTTGTTGAGATCCCAGGGTCCCCAAATTCTACCTACCAAAAGAGTCATACTGTCACCATAGCTGCCAAACCAGTACCACAGCCACCATGATGAATTCTTTACTTTTTTCCTTCTAGTGATAAAGCTCTTAACCAAATTCTTTGTCTTTGAATATTTGAAAGAAAAAGCAAGGGAATTTCAGAGTTCCATGGAAAGTATTCTCATGGATTTGTTTGTACATTTGTTAGACCAATAGCAGACTGGAATAAGCAAATGCTTATATAATTTTTGGATTGGAATAAGCAAATGCTGAGCCCTGAGCATAATATGAAATATTCTAAAACAAATTGTAACCAACATAGTAAAGTTTAGCTTTTTCCAAATTCTACAGATATGCTAATAAAACATTAAAAATCTAAGATTTTTCACTTAAATATTTAAGATTATTCATTTGCAATCCTTATTCAATAAGGAATAGTAATTGCAAGATAACTTTTTAAATTTTTTTATGTGAAAATACCATACAGATAGGTTACAATTACATGGGCAAAGTTTTTTAATTTTATAGGTGACATTCTATGCTAGATTTTAACACTAACTCCCAAACTCAATTATGAATAAATGCTATTGTCATATATTACAACCTTCTAAATAATAACATTTTCCAGAGAAAATTGTATAATTGCTAAAGTCTATCTTCTCCAGTCTATTAAAATGACATCACAATTTGAAATACCATTTAATATAATTTTCCAAAATATTTCTTATATTAAAATATTGTCTGGAACATTCATTGCACATGAAATGTGATGTTAATTGTATTTATACTAAGGAGGAGGAAATGAGTATATATGCATATATTGTTTAAGTTCATTCTTTTCTCATTTAACTCTGATGATTATCAATAAAACATATTGTTTAATTTTGCAATTAACTCAACAGTTTTATCAAAACTGTGTTATATTTATTTGAAGAAAAACCATGTTGGTATCTGATTCTGAATCTCCCTATAGAATTTTACATGTATGCTATTTCATTTTTTTAAATCTCTGTATATTATGTCATTAGTTAAAAATCTGTCTATACTATTTCATTATTAAAATGTTTAAAAGTCCATTTTTAAACAATGCATTAATTGAACCATACATGATAAATTGTAACCTAAAAATTTATTGTATCCTATTAAATTATTTTATCACTGCTTATTTCATTTTAAGTGATGTTATATATTCATTTGTAAAGATAGAAGATGGTTAAATAGATTTTTTAAATTTACTATGTAAATCACCAAGCTTCATTCACAATGTCTAAAACCATCTTCTTACTACATTTACATGCTGAAAAATAATTCTCAAGAAATGGTCAGTTGCCATTTTCTTCATGACAAATAGGTTCTTTACTTTAGTAATATAATTCAGGTAACATGTTTCAAATGAAAGCTCCGTAAATTAGAGAAAGGTGTACACAGCACATGGTAGCTCATTCAATGAGCATTTCATAGCCTTATCTTATTTAATTATTTAATATGCAGACACATATTCCTTTATGGAAATGAAAGTCTACATGGATTGGATTTCCTCAGTGGATTTCTCTTTGACTGAAATAAAATCCTTAGTTATGCCTCCTTATGCACAACCAAGCAGATTGAAAATAAAGTGATCGGAATAATAGAATCATAAAAAGGTTATGGATGAAAAGGGTTCTTTGAGGATGTATTTTATTCCTATGGATTGAAGTGGGTGCATTTAATCTTCCCCTTACCATCTATAATACAAAGAAATATACAGCTTCAAATAGTTCCTTAAAGGCTCTTGAAATTACTTAAGTAAAAGCAATTTCCTTTTCTTAATGCATTCCTTCTCAACTTCCCTCTCATTCCCCCTTCTCTCTGTGTTTGTGGGTCCCACTCCCTTTTTTCTTAGTATTTCTTCCAGATCCAGTGATTTCCTATGTGCATCTTTTGAGCTAATAAGTGCTGTGAGGAAGATGAAAGCTAACTAAGAATGGCTTCACCATGTTGTGGAAATAATGAAAGATCAGAACAGCCTTGGTCTCATACTTTCTCTCTTACACTTACCTACTCTTCACATTTTGGCTAATTCTAACTGTAATGATACCTCATTCAATTCTTTACAGGTAGTTTTAAGGATAAGAAGTAGTATGCAGAAAAAAGAAAATCTTGTCATGTGTTTTAGACTCAACAAATACTATGATTAAGGAGACAGAGATTCACATTTTAAGGTTATACTGACAAAACAAAGGGACCACCAAATGAAGCATACTGGTCGGATCCATAGAGAGGCAGTTTGCTTAGACAGCTTCAACATCCATTTTCCCAGTTAAATACTATTTGTGCACCTAATCTTTTTTTTAATCCATGTTTGAGATGGAATGATGGGGAGCAAATGGAAAAGCTAGCCACATCTTGGCCACAAAGCCAAGATAAAACTGCAATTTCTTAAGGCTAATGCACATAATAAACACTATTGGTTTGCTCAAACAACTTTCTTCTGAAATGACACAGGATAATTTGATCAAAGATGAGTGGTCTCATGAAACTCTTCAAGGATGCATTTTTAGGAACAGCTGAGAATGTCCTACACTGGACAGGATCTGCTGGTCAATAAAGAAGGTAACATAAAAGAAATGTCTCCTTCATTCTGTAAACTAACCAATTCCAGAAGATGTAAGGATGTGATCTCATGGAGTCAGGCCCCCAGGACAATGACACTGAGGGATCTTCCTACTGGTGTTGTGTGGCTACAGATGGAGTTACACAAGGTGTTAACCCATTATTCAGAAAAGGCAACTTTGCTTTACACATTTATTTTTATATGAGGGATTATTACTCATCTCTTCACTAAGAACTTAAGGAATCGCTAATTTATACTAGTGCTTATTGCAGACAAAGTCTCTGTTCTGATTGGTATTAACCCCAGCAAGCTTCTCCTCAAGGTACAAGAGGTTCTGGTCACCAACTGGCTGAACAGATGGTCAGGTGCCCATGGCATTCAGTCCCTCATTGAAGACCCTCCCTCTGTGATACTTCATCATATATGAGTTCACTATGTTATCCCCTCCGTACACAATAAGACATGTACACCGACATTAGAGATAATTCTTTGCATCATAGTCTATATTGCCTTTAAAATGGACTGATTCCTTCATGGTAGGTACAAGTATTGGAATAGTCTCACGATTCTTTTGGGGCAAGTGCAGCGTTACACAAGAAAAGAGTTTGTGCTTTCTCAATTATTGTGTCAGACACATGGCTTACACTTTTTGAAGTAATTATGTTTCTATTTGTACAAATGTAACCATTGATTGAGCATATCTTTCTAGTATGAATTCATTCATTTGGCCCCTTTTGCTAAACTTTAATTATAATATAGTATGGTTCTGAACTCAAAGGTGTCTTCCAGGGCATAAATAAGCCAGGTAGATAATCTTCAACCAAATAGGAGAAAATAATACCCGAATAAATGAGTGAACAAATTAACTGGAAAGATACCAATAAGAGATAAGTATTAAAGTGAACATTGTCCTTATGGGAAAAAGTTCAAACTGGTACTTCAAGTTGGATGACCAGAAAATGTCTGGCTGAATTTGTGATATTTAGGCAGAGATGTATATGCTAATCAGAGGTCCCCTACCCTAATAGTATTTTGAAGTCCTCAAGGCATTAAAAAAAATCAACCAGGTCTTTCCATTTCCTAACAAATGGTACAATGTCATTCTTTCTGATGGAGGCATAGAATTCCATTGTGTATATATACCACATTTTCTTGATCCATTCATCCACTGAGGGGCAGCTGGGTTGGTTCCATATCTTAGCCATGGTAAATAAGGCTGCAATAAACATAGTCGTAAGTGAAGTAAGCCAGGCCCAAAGAAACATAGGTCCCATGGTTTCCCTTATTTGCAATAACTAGTATATGTCTGAGTCAAGCAGAAAAGGTCAGTTAAGTTGATGTTAGGGAAATGAACCCTAAGATATGCATTCAAATGTTTTTTTTTTTCTTTCATGTGATTGTTTCTAACACATTTATAAGATGATTTCTTTGTTGCTTTGTATGTCTCTCCCCCACGGTATAACCCCTGCTTTCACTGTACTTGATGTCGGTATAATTTGTGGAGGGGAAGGGAAAAAACAAAGCGTTTAAATAGGGATACAGGTGGACCCATTGCAACAATGAGAAGTACAAGTTGTTATGTCGAAAACGAACTTTACAACTTTGGGGAGGGGGAGGAGGGTTGGATGGGGTGGGTGGGGGGAGGATGGTATGGGAAGGGGAAACAAAGGAGGAGGCTACAATGCTTGATAAGAAATGTACTCATTATCTTGCCCATGTAATTGTACCCCCTCTGTACAGTATTTTCACAATAAAAAAAAAAAAATCAACCAGGGGACCTGAATGCAGGGATGGGGAAATAGAAAGCAAGCATAAGGATTTATGGAAGTAATTGAATCAGCCTTTATATGTTTGAAAGCCACTAGAAGATTTTCTCTTTTTTTTTTTTTTTTTTTGCTTTTTAAAGGGATATACTATGTCAGATAGCCTACGTTGAAAACAGATTACAAGAGTAAAGGAGAGGAAGTTGGAGACATTTAGTACAAAACCTCGGAGTTTTCCATTGCACAATAATTGGAGAGTTAATATACATATATACGCATATATATACACATATATAATATGCAATAGACTATATATAATGGAAGTCTTAGTTATTAACTGAGATAGAATATGGGCTGGTGTGGGATAAGGGCCTTCTTTCTCATAAAATCATGTTTTCAAACTGAGGACCCACTTATTTCCCACTTTGAGCCCCATATCCCAACTATAGAAGTTTGGCTCACCTGATGGGTAATTTAGAAGAAGGTACCAAATGTAAGGATACAACAAGCCCCACCCTTACTTGGCTTCAGGCATGAGAAGCAGTATTCACTCATTCAGTTCAGGGCAGTGAGCTTTAGGGAAGTAAGTAGACTGTGCAAAGGTAGATTCAGTTCCTTCTAGGAATAGGTGTGGTTACAAGATTCTTATTGTGATGGTATAACTAAGCCCTTCCCACCCATCACCCTAAGTTTATACAAAGAAAAGCCTATCTTATGGAAATATTATAAAATGGATTATATATTAAACACTATGGTGTTAACTAGAACTGACATTTGCTGGTTCAATTTTTTTGGCTCCAGTATTTCTGAGGGTCCCAGTTTGAAACCAGCAAGGGCAGGAAAGTCCATGAGACTCTTATCTCCAATAAACTACTAAAAATAAAAGATGGAAGCAGTGCTGTGGCTCAAGTGGTAGAGTACCAGCCTTGAGTAAAAGAAGGTCAGGGACAGTGCCTAGGCCTTGAATGCAAACCCCATAACCCCAGGCAGGGCAGGATGATGATCAGAAAATGTCTGGCTGAATTGGTGATATTTAGGCAGAGATGTATATGCTAATCAGAGGCCCCCTATCCTAATAGTATTTTGAAGGTGGCAGGGGCAGGGGGAGGTTGTAGAAGTGGAATCAAAAACAAACCAACAAAAAAAACCCCACTTACCAATGTAGCATATTTGGTAGAATCAGTAAGCAAGGGTCCTAGTCATATTAAGTTGAAAGACAGCTAGATATTCCAGATAAACTCATATTATGAGCTAGGTCAGAAGTGGAGATAAAAAACTTTATAATCATATACACATAGATCAATAGGCTTATCTATATTAAAATGCAAATATGATGCTCTTGGCAATAAATTGTTATATAAGTAGACATGTCACTTGACTTTTATAACAAAAATAGATTATATCACTAGCAGGTAATAACCTTGTAACTTTTTACCTAGAAAAGACCATCAGACACAAGGTATTAAATTAGCAGCTAATAATAACACTACTTTTTACATATGGGAGATCAGACACTCCAAGCAAGACTATTTCTCGCCAGCCCACATGACTAGGAAGACCTCTCCTAAATTATGAACCCCAGTCGACTTTCCAGAGACATTTCTTCTAAATCCAGCACCAAGCAATCCACTCTGTCTCTCAGTGCAAACTATTCAACGTTTATAAAATTTAATTTTAATCCCCCACACTTCACCTCTGACTCCTCTAAAGAGCACATGGCCATATTAATTGATGACATATATCCTACTGAGCAGGCAAGAACAATCTGTAAAAGTACAGTCTCCACATTTACTATATTCTTTTCTCTCACAGACCTGATGTTCAGACAGTCATATCTATATGAAAAGTCTTTCCATGCATGCTTTAATGTCTCCTCCTGTCATTTTATTTTTATTAAAATATATGTGCTGTCTCTTCATCATCAGAAAACAATAACTCTTATTTCTGAAGTCACTGCACCTAAATTCTACTATTGTGCATAAATGGGTAATGTTAAATAAGATGATTGGCATACAGTTTCCAAAAGAATTAGTTACAATTTGTCTTAATTACAAGGTGCTTCTTTTTCATTATATACAGTATTCTACTGTCAGTTTCTTAGTTAACATGACAATATAAAGTGTATGAAGTTAGCACAACAATGATTTTTTTTAATGTAATAACATTCCTTTTCTCATAAACAGGCTTTTATTCAGCCAGTCTAATATAGAATGAATTTCATTATTTATATCAATTTTTAGTAAGATTACTAACTGTTTAACAATGATAATTTTATTACTGGATTTTTAAAAAGAAAGTGCATTGAAAAAATATTTTTGGAAATATCTTTAGAAATCAAATTTTAGAGAAAATTTAGTATTATTACTTTATACTTTTCACAATTTGTTTTGCAATTAAACCTATTAACATAACTGGATTTAGTTAAAAAGAAATTTTAAGTTTATACACCTTTTTAGCATTTCAACCCAGAAAGTATGTCTGGCTAAAATGCTTTGGATTTAAATTTTAGTAGAATTAGTAAGATTGCACAACATAGAGACCATTTTATTTCTCAAATTAGCTAGGTCAAAATTTGCATTGTAAATATACTGTAGTGCTTGGAAATCTGATAGACTTAGAGCCTATATCAACTTTGTAACTTGTAGGATAAAGCAAAAGGCACTAGAATCCATGTTTTCCGGCAAATTAATTTGATTATATCTAAAGATGATGTATTCAAGCCTCTTGACATTATCTACATCTGAATAAAATATTGCTTGGAATCTTCTGGATGTTAAACAAGCTTATAGATAAGTGGGGAAAGACTTGTTCAGACTTGTGTTCCAGAGCCAAAACTATTTGACTATTACACTCACATAGATCAGAATCTCTCAGCTTATCTGAGGTTGTACACCCTTCTGACTTTCAATTTGTAAGGCTAAAATGAATTAACAAGGCTGACTTGCTTTAAAGCAACTGGCTAGGAATTGAGAAATCCCAATTGATCTATTGAAAAGGAAACTGTATGTATTTAAAAGATAAAAATAAATAAATAAACTAGCAATTAATGAGCACATTTACCACTCTACACATGGTAAGATTATTAAC